CCGACGATGGTGCACGGCGCGCGCATCGTGTGGGTGTTGGCCTCCGCGTCAAGAATGGTGCGGGCGACGTTGCATAACTTCTTCACCTCCGACTCCCGGGGGCAGGCGGCCTTGCCGACGGTCTCTAGAAACTGGTCAATGGAGTCCATAGCAAGTGTTCTAGGGGGAACAGAGCCAAACTAAAACCTGCACGCGGCAGTGGCAACAGCAGAGAGCGGGACAGCGGGGAAAAAGCAGAGAACTCAACGCACCACCACCGGCAGGTGTCTTACGGAAGCCTACAGAGCAATGTGTGTGTGTGTGTATATATATATACATATGCATTGGGCGTGCCCACCAAGTGCGCGGCGTAACCGGCTGGAGCAGACAACGCGCAGGGACAGATAAGCGACGAGGACATCAACTGGGTTCAAAATGTAGATAGTAATGTATATAAACAAAGAAACAAATAAATAAACGCCCAACCGCGTCTTTATTACCTCACGTGCGAATCTCTTTGCGCGGGGGATGGTAGGATGACGAAAATCATCTCCGGCGATCGTAGTTTCCCAGCGCATCCGCGAGTATTGCGTCATCGAGGACGTTGCCACCGTCAACGACGCCGCTCTCTACATAACTTCGGTAGTCGAAATTAGAGTATCTCCCGATGCGCTCCTCTACGTCGCGGCTGTACGATGTATTCTCCGTTTCCGACACAAAGCGCAGTCGACGGCCTATTGCTTGGCGATCGACAGTTAACCTCATGGCGCCGGGTGCAGGTGTCTCGCCGTTGTGGCGCAGCCTGAAATCCTGCATCATGCTGCGCTTGACCGAAGCCGGCGCGGCACCCCCTACGTCCCCTTTAGCCCCCTGGGCCCTGCCGCTGCGTCGGTTGTGGCGCTCCTCTTCCTCCGCCTGACGCTTCCTCTCGAACTGCTGCATCAGTTCGGCGGTGGTGGGGTGCCGCTGGGCGTCGGCGGTTGAGGCTCGTTGTACGGCCTCTTCCTTCAAAATGGCACGCATGCGTTCGTACTCTGCTTTGAAGGCGGGGTTCTGCGCGTCGTACTCGGCGCGCCGCCGCATTTCCTCCTCGCGCTGCCTCTCAAACTCGCTCTTGTCCTTCTTCTTTGACTCCTCCTCCGTGCGTCTGCGTTCCACAAACTGTCGTAGCTCCTCCGCAGTAAGCTCGACGTTGGGATCCATCATCGGGTCGTACGCCCGCGCCTGACCCTCAATGTGGGTCCGCAGCCTCCCCGCGTCATACAGGCGGCGCTGCGCCGGGTCGGACAATATGCTGTGCGCAAAGCTGACCTCCTTGAACATCTCGACCCCGTCGGGGTTCTTGTCCGGGTGGTACACTACAGCCAGCTTGTAATACGCGCGGCGGATCTCGCTGTCGGGGGCGCTCTTGGGCACACCCAACACATCGTACAGTGCGGTGTTCCCCCGCAGCTCAAAGACATCCGAGCCCATCACTGCGTCTTTGTGTATGTGTGTGTATGTGTGTGTGTGTGTGTGTGTGTGTGTGTGTGTGTTGATTCCTCCCGCCCCTGCGAGTGCGCTTGCCGCTGTCGTCCCTTTATCTTTCCTAGCAAATGTCTTCTGTATCTAACAAGTATATGTTCCCTAGGTGAACGTGGTTCAGTGCTTGACAAGATGTACTTGCCCTTTTCTTGTTCTTTAGTTGTTGATCCTTCTTACTCCTTCGCCGCCTCCTTGTGGTGTCTCTCTACGGTAGTGGGGTTGGCAGGCGGCCCGCTTCAACAGCAAGCCGGCAAAACGGGAAAAGTAGTGGGGAAAAAGCGGTGCCTTGGGCAAGTCTGTGTTGCTGCTCTCCCTTCGTTGGGTGCGTGCGCAGTGACTTTATCCTGTTTGCGGCTCCACCTTCGTCCGGAGGGGCGCAGCCGGGGTAACGCCCCACACGCCCCCAACCCACCCACCAACCAACCAGCGCCGCCTGAGCCGGGGGCAGAAAAGAAAACAACACCACACACAAGTATGGCTCGCCGAATGCGGCAAACAAACAGACGGAGAGACATGGCAAACGCAGCGGCGCTACGTCGCCCAGAACCCCGTCTTCTTCGTTGCTCGCCCACGGTTCTTCATGGTGTGCGCCGAGAGGCTTTTGCCGCCAAACCCCGTGCGTTTGAGACCCAACATCAGCCCGCCGCCGCCTCCGCCGCCCCTGGAGAAATCGTCACGCGCGGAACCCACCACCGCAGTACGCGACGGCTGCCCCGCTCCCGCCAGCCAAGGGCACATATACCCCTCCGCCTGCACGTAGAGTGAGCGCCGCTTGCGCACCCGCGAGACGTACTTTTCCAGGACGCGGTCGAGATGCCGACGCCGGGCGCTTTTCCTCACGGGACGCCGGAGCGACAAGGTGTCACTCTCAAAGAGGCCTGCGTGCTCACCTTCCTCGATAAACGTGTGTTGCCCGCCCAGCTCCGCCAAGAGAAGTCGGTTATAGTCTCCCGCGCTTGAATGCTGCGAGAATTGCTCAAGGGAGCCTTCCTGAGACGCAGGAAGCCTTGCCACAGACGTGGTAATCATACTCTTTGCTATAGGCACGCCATTGATGGCCCGCAGGGCGTGCGCCTCACTGTCTAAGCTGGCGGGAAGCTGCGGCAGCAGCGGTGTCGGGGATGACCGCAGCGGCGTCCTGCCGCAAGAGGGCGGAGGCGCTGACGCTGGGTCGGCGCTTTTTGAAACGTCCGCGGCATAAGCGTCGGGTGTTGAGGCGTCTGCGTCCATCCGGCAGTCGGTCGCGTGCTGCTGCTGCGGTATCATCCGGAGTGACGCCCGAACTCGAAACCGTCGCGGACCCTCCCCTCGTCCCACGAAGGAAGAAGCACCACCCCCCAGAGGCATGGCTGAATCCAAAGTGCGTTGCACCGCTGCGCCTCCTGCGCCCGCCAAAGCCGGTGACGGCAAAAGTGCCCGGTGACGAGCACTGCTGTTGTCGCCGTCGTCGCAGTTCTGCTCACAACACGCCACGAGGTGATTTGCAGCCATGACCTTTGCCGATAATAAGGCCGCCTTCGGTGACGTCGTCAACCACTTGGCTTTGGCTTCCTCATGCGCTAGGACGAGGCGTTCCAGCGAGAGGTTGTCGTCTTCGGGCAAGAGGAAGGCCTCCACGGGGTAGCGCTGCTCCACTGCCGCGATCACCTCCGGCGAGGGAGGCGCGTAGCTCAGTTCCCTGACGCCCTTGTAGGTCAAGTCCTCGGCTCGGCGGAGCTCTTGCGTGCAGTAGTATGTGATGTCGTGCTGCAGGGCCTCGATGTTCAAACACCTCTCTGGGTACTTTGGGCTGGCCCGCACGCCCAGCACGGGGACCTCGTCGCTGCCCAAAAAGCTCCAGATACGATCCGTCTGCCGCTGCAGGGCCGCCGGATCGCCCTTGAAGCGGTCAATTTTGCTCAGAAGCACCGAAAAGGGTATGCGTTCGTTCTGCAGAAAGGCGAGGATTTCCTCGTCGCGGGGTTGAAAAGAGCCGGTGGACTCCATCACCCAATAGACCCGCTTCAGTGGGCCCGAGCTGCGGAGCGCCAAGTAACGAAACAAAGCGGCAAAGGCGCCCGCGCGCTCGGCAAGGCCTTGCGGCAGGCGCCGTCCCCCCCAACCGCCGTAGCCAGGGGTGTCGACAAGTAGCATGGCATCTCCTACGTTAAAGAACTGCAGAAGTCGCGTGGTTCCCCGCGCGCCCCCGGAACGGCCCAAGCGACGGTTGTGCAGCAGGGAGGATATGATGGAGGATTTGCCCACGTTCGGTTTGCCAATGAAGCACACTTCCGGAAACGAATGCAGGCCCTCCGGCAAGGCGGAGAGCGCACACACGTTCTTGAGGTGCACATTGCCCTTTGAAAACACCTCCTCACTCAGCCTTGCCACCAACTTCTCCCGCCGCGAGAGCTCAGGGGCGGCGCCTGCGGAAGGAGAAAAGGGCCGCGGCGCCACAGCAACTGGCCGGGGCGGCTGTTGCCCGGAGGCCTTCCCCAAAAGCGGCCGGCAAAAAAGACGCATGCGGGACGCCTGCAGCCCTGTGACGGTTGCAGGCGTGGAACCTACACGGAGGGAGCCCTATCGTCCCAAAAAAAAAAACTACAGAAACAGTCGAAAAGAACGGTGCACCGCCCACCCACCCCCACAGCACTTCGAAGAGGCAGGGGCAGCACCAACGACAACAAATAAGAAGATACGGTTTACCCCAGTAGCCCAGTCACCTCTGCAGGAGGGAAAAGGCTTTGCCCAACGGCACATCCTTGGTAGCGAGTGTGAAAAGGCAGAACGAAGACGAGACAAGCAGAAAAATAAAACTGACAGCTACATCTCAAGGCAGCAAAAGAGGAGGGGAAAAAAAGAAGTTCAAACCCTCACCCATTCGCTTTACCTTACTTTGTTCTTTTTTTTCGTTTATGGTTGTTTGCTACATATAGAAAAATAGATATATGTCTAGCTGTGTAATAAACGGAGCTTTGCCGCTCGTCATTACATCTTCCATGCACTATTGTTTTCTTCTTCATGTTGTTTTTGTTTTTGTTTTTTTTCAATTCCTTCTTGTTGCTCCTCGCTAACCCGTTTCCTTGCCTCATCTTTATCTCCGTTTCCTTTGATGTTGTTTCCTCTGCCGTCCCTCCCCTTGCGCGTGCGTGTGCCGCGCCACTCAACTTTTGCCTCCCATTATTCTGTGGGTACTCCTTTACTTGTCTTTTTTTTCCCCCATCTTCAACGAAGAATGCGTGCAATGAATACGAGGCAATTCCTACGCCTCCCGTTAGTTGCACGCTCATCACCCAATATACATTATGGAAGGAGCCACATCCAAAAGGGAAAGAAAATGAAAGAACCAAAAAAGCAATAAAAACAAATACAAAAAAAAAGTATAGAGTGGCGTTTGACTGAAATGCCTACTTGCCTACACGCCATCGTCCCCACCCACCCCCACCCTGCTGGTGGGTCACACTTTCTTCTTTATCAGAAGTCTGTGTCTCTCAATTGGCCCCGGGAGAATTGTGTTGAGAGCCCTCATCCGAGTTTCAGGCGGCAGCGACCGCGTCCTTGACCTTTTCCTCGGGAACTTCCTTGTGCTCCTCGGGTACTTCCTTGTGCTCCTCGGGAACCTCCTTATGCTCCTCGGGTACTTCCTTGTGCTCCTCGGGAACCTCCTTATGCTCCTCGGGTACTCCTTGTGCTCCTCGGGTACTTCCTTA